TATTATTTTATTATAATCTAAATATACTCCCATATAATGTCATTATCACTTCTACCATTCATATAAAATAAAACAAAAGTGAATCCAAATAGACGAAGAGGCCATATATGTGAGTTAATATGGCCTCACTTTCTATATTTGGAGTCACTTTTGTTTTATTTTATTCAGTGCACCTCTTACTCTTCATACAGCAATGCATTTGCTACAATCTTTAACAATAAATCTATTTCTGTCACAGAGACACATAGCCTACTTACCACCTTGTGCAGACAGCAATGCCATTAGCATTCTATACAGATAATTAGGACGGTTACTAGCTATTACTATCACTGGAACATCCTCTATATTATTTGGCGTAAGCTGAAAATTTAAATAAAATATAACTAAGAATTATTTTCTTTTAGTAAATTATAAAGAAAAGCATTGATTACAATATGTATGGTGAATTAATCATACTTTAAGCTGTGCATGTTTTAAATACATCAAAGTTGTTCATGGATATGTCTACAATGGAGATTAAGATTACAGAAGAAGGGACACAGTTGCTGAGTTTAATTAATGACGATAGATGATAGGGGAGGGCAGATAATATAGAGAAGGGGCAGAAAGTCAATAAAAAGTAACTTATAAAGTATATCAATAATGAGAGAGGACTGCAATAATATGGAAACTACCATAGATCAATGGGCAGGCAGCAAAGACCAATAGGAACTATTAGTAGGCAGCCAGCTCAGTCGGATGAACTAGTGGGTAGCCACTATGTGTACACTGAAACGTGGAGATCTCTAGGTTCCCGGTTCAATTCTCATCGCTACTCTCCTCAAGTTTTAGCTGGAGGGCTGAAAAGCAAGTTTGTAAAGGCACACTTGTTTCAGATGACGTTTAAACCGTTGGCCAAATGGCTCCCTGTGTATTTTTGTGTGTATGTATGTATGTAATTGTTAGTTATCTAGTCTTCACATGCAATTTTTATATTTTTAATATATATTTGAACTGCAATTGATATTTTTGATATTGAATTCTATTCAATTTGTTGTAAATGAAATTTTTCATAATAATAACTATAATTTTAATTAATATTCAATTCAATTTGTTGTAAATGAAATTTTTCATAATTACTATAATTTTAATTAATATTTAATATTTAAAATATTTTATATATAATATTTAAATTATGTAATGAGTAGTTGCATTACAATTTTTTTTTTTTTTACTTTTTGTAATGTTTGTTGGTGTTGATGTGTTTATGCCAGATTCAAGGAACATTTCTGTTTATGTATTTTTATATGTGAATAGACCAATAAAGCTTATCTTATCTTATCAGAAAAGAGTAGGGGATTGTCTCCTGGTTTACTGCTAAATTCACCGCTGGGAACAAGTCTTAGAAAGACTTTCATGGGTTACTCTGGGTGTATATAACACTGAAGACCTCCCATCAAATTCAATCAAGATTGTGATAGGTAAATAGGGGATTGAAAGGCTGGTAGAGAGACTGCAACAGATCAATAAAGAGAATTTACAGCCAATATGGCCACTGCAATAGACAAAGAGGAGAACTTCAGTAGATACTGCAGCAGGGAGGACTGCAGATAGAGTAGAATATAGAACTTCAATATTAGTACAACAGAGGATATTGAAGTTGGGAAGAGGCTGGGAAGTGTGTAAATGTAAAGAAAGCAACAAAATCTAGAAATTGATTTTATGAGTATACTGTTAGAAAATTCAAGACAGGAACATGAAGTAAGTTCATGAAATATTCACTAAAATGTAAGCCATAATTTTTTTAAAGGTATTAAGCAAGAAAATTAACTTAATTTTCTCATTTAAAAATCAATACCAGACTTTGCGAAATATCATATATTAATGTATAATTTTCATATAAATCATGAAAAAACATACGAACAACACAAATCAAATAAATATATCATCAGAAATATTCAGATGGAAAAAGAAAAAAAACTTGCCTCTATTTCTGTGATTTATAAAGTGAATTTTAAATAAGAGTGATAAATTGTAAGAGTATAGTCTAATGCTGCATAGACATAGAAACTGACTGGGTAAGCCTCAAACTTATTCTTTGCACGTAATATCGCTCATTTACACGTATGGACATCATTAATAAAAATGGGCAGTAAATCAAACGAACGGTAACATCCATAAATGTTATCAACCTTCTACACAATACAAGTTATTAGGATGGGTTTTTTTTAAATTTCTTTCTCTTATGGAATTATAATGAGCTTTTTCATTACTCTTTCCCTTCTTACGATATTACAAAGTCGGAGATGTGTAAGATAGATGATACTAGATTTTTTTTGTTATTAATTAATGCACTCTTTTTTTTACAACAGACCAGCATTAGTCATAATGAATGTTATTATTTAAATTTTGCAATTTTATTGAAATTTAATTAATTAATTATCTCCTTTCCTTTCTCATGAATAATCCTTTTTCTTTCTTCTCTTTCAAATTTCTTTTATTTTCCACAGTACAAGATTCTTTGCTATTAGCTAATACATAGATTTAATAACAACAAACTGGCATTATTCATTTAACTAATTTCTATTTTGCAACATTTTATTTAAATTTAATTATTTAGTTATCTCCATGAATAATCTTTTTCTTTTTCTCTCAAATTTCTTTTATTTTTCACTGTATAACATTTTCAATACTAATATATAGGTAAACATAATTACTTAAAGGTGAAAAAATCGCATCATCATGGTTACATATTTGTACAAAGAATAACTATTTGTTCATCTTATACATTAATTGATTTTCATGAATTCCTACTAGACGTATTTCCGAGCAGTATAAAAATGACTAGGAATCCCTCTTTGACATATAAAATATAAACACAGCTCACAATGTTGTAACACAACTCTCAAATAAACTTTTATTCTATAAACTCCAACAAGAATCCGGTATCAAAATAACAACACAACAGCATTAACATAAACATGTGTTTCAAAAAGAGATTCTTGAAAGACCAAGCTCTCACCTTACATAAATTAGCCCTAGAACTCCAAAGCATTCAAGAGCATTCCATATTGCCTAAGTTCCTCATTGGTCACCTTACATCATAATTAACCAATAGGCTTATTGCCTCTACAGTACCCAAGATTCCAGAAACTTCCAAATATTACTCTTGGATTCTACATGGTGTCATGTGTTCCTATAATTACCAATGTGGTTTACACTTGTTTGTTTGGTCAAATAAATGCAATTCTAGAATGTTCTAAATAAATACGTTACAATAAGGAAAGGAATGGTAATTTATTACATTGATAAAGTAATAAGAATAAAGTAATTAATAATTTTCAACAATAACAATTAAAAAATAAAGGAAAATGCAATATTTGTCATGGCATATTAATTCACTGATGCCATCTTTATAATTTGCAAAAATGTACTGTCAATCAATTAATCAATCAATCAAAAATATTATTCAATAATTAGAATCTAATACAGGTTTCTGTATTCCAAGTACCATTAAAATATATATCTAATAAATTACAAAGTGAGCTCTATATATTAAATGTATATTGTTACCTTTTCGGGGTTCATTTCAATTGGGGCTGGGTCGCTACAGCTGCATAGACTCCCGTAGCCTTCTATCTTGCTACAGAATTCTCGCCGTCGACGGTTTGTTTCCGTGTCCGGCCAGTCACACTCTACTTCTACCAATGGAAGAAAAAAATAACTAAACCGTTCTACATCAATCATTTGAGTCATCCAAAAATCTCATCTTTACAATAAGTTTTTTTTTTTCTTATTGAGTGGGAATGCTAGCAGAAGATATAAAGGCTCTTCCATCTTTTGCCAATAACCATTTAAAACAAATTCAAATGCTATGGATATTTACTCACCTTCTTTGGGAACTAAGGGTACTACAGCTTTGAGTAGTACGGGGGCGCCCCATTTTGATACATCGGGCGCCTTATGATGCTTTTCAACAAATAAATGACCTAAAGAGCGAGAGAGGGAGAGAAAAAGGACATTTTATTGACTGTAAATTAATTCTTGAAATGAATTTCATTAATAGAAGTATTGAAATACACAATATTTCACTTTATAATAAAATTTAAAAAAAAAAAACCAACAAAAAACAGCAATTAAAAGGACTGCTTTCAAAAAGATCGAATCAGTAACACCTGGTAAAAAAGCATGGCACTATGTCCTAATTTTTAGGTAAAACATGTTAGGACAAAATGAAAATATATTTGTTATAGATAATTCAGTAAAAAAAACAAAAAAACAAACAAAACACAGAATTATTTCATGGCAATTTCACGGTAAATTAATGTACAAAAAATAAAGTTCCATGTACAGTAATCTGTGACATGTTCTCAACAGATCTGTTGCATGTTTGGATATAGATACCTAATAGAAAACAGACTTTGGGTCAATGACACTGAAATCAAGCATCAGTTGCTACAGAAAAACCCCCAAATCCCCCTGGCAAATCCAGCACAGTAATACATTATGGTGCATCTATTTTTGTGTGAAGTCACCCACAAAACATCCTCGGGGCACAAATTTAAGCCTGTCAAAGTGCAAAGGTTATGGATGATGGATATACATTTAATATCTGTTGATTGCTTCACAAAAGGAGTACTGTACTCCGCAGAAATCGCAGCTTTTTCATCTAACAGGAAGTTTGTTGACTTTATGTTCTACTGATTTCCATTTTTGAATAACTGCTCGTAAATAAATCTAATTAAATGATGGGTGAAATAGGTTAATTCATTCTAGAACAGATAATGAACGCTCATTTTGTTTAGATACCTTGAAAACATGCGTCTAATCCATAAATGTATTTTTGCTAATTACTGTAATCAATTAGATAAACATTTCATGAGGTTCGCATATATCACCTTAAGGGTGGAATGCTTACGTAGTACTAATGATACGTGCATCGTGTATCGTTGACAATTCAGTCACGATTATCAGCCATTTATTCAAGCATTATATTGTAAACACATTATTCATTTCATACCAAGAGGACACTTGTAAATCATCCAACATCAATTTCCTATTTTTGTTATCTGATATTCTTATGTTTAATACTTTCATGTGATTTACTACTATTCATTACGTATTGTGCAATACTTTGAAAAAAAAAAACAAAACATGTCCTAATGGGTGTGTATTACCACTTGGTTTCATAACTCAGTTGGTAGAGTATCGGAACGGTAATTGGAAGGTCTTGGGTTTGAATGCTGATAGGAACATGCGTCTTTCTCAAATATCTATTATCATCTTTGATATTCTTAAAGAATACAATACGGTACACGAAATCACATGAAATCAAAATAATGACAGCATGCATGTCATAAAGTTGTAATTAATAGATGGATGAAAGTTTATGAAGAAGCATCCTATTTTTAACTCTAATGAGGAACTCTAGAAATACAGTGCTAATTGTGCTGATGACTGACTGGGCTTTTCTGCTGATTGACTGTGCTTTTTTTTTTTTCGCAGAATAAAATAACAGGCTTGTCCAGGAATTGAACCAAGGACCTCTCACACCAAAACCTACATTCATGCTTCTTAACCAACAAGCCATAGTTACTGAATCTCACACCCTAAGCTACAGGAATACTTGGCTGACTTATTTTTTTTTGGCTGATTGCTGACGAGCTCGTCCGGGAATTGAAGCAGGTAACTCACACACCCTAAGCTCCATTCATGCTATAGACCAACAAGTCATAGTTATTGTGCAATTTTAAAGGAACTCTAAGAATACGGCTGATTGATTGATTGATTGATTGATTGACTGACTAATAGTCTAGCTGCCAACATACTCTACTGCCTCTATTATACTACGATCATCGGAGCTTTTGAGATTACGAGAACTTATTTTATTCTGTGTAGTATACCAAAAGTCTTAGTTAGAAGGTACTGTACCATATTCATGTGAGAACAGCAGTAATATTTTGCCTTGGATAAATATGCCCTCCATCTTCAGACAAAATTGATCTTGTGTCAACAAATATTTTGATTTTTTATTTTCCAGCAGAATAATTCCATGATTTGAACAGGGAATAAACTAATTAATTAATTCCATGTTCTTTTTCCCATTTTTCAAATTTCTTTGATTTACTTAACAGATGAGAGTATTAATGAATATAGGGATATTGTAATTAAATAAACAAATATATCTTTAGGTTCTAAAGATCTGAAACAACTACAAACTAATCAGTTTTAATATATAATGATTTTTTTCTGGTGAGGGTTTATACTATTAATTTTCATGATCACATAGACCCTGATACATATAAACATTTTATACGATATAAAATTGAAATAACTGCAGTTTGGACATATTAATACTCATGATTTCACATAAACAAATTATTAATATTACAGCCTGCTTCTTTTTAATAAGGTTTTGTCCTGTCTGCATTAGTCAATTGGAATATTAACAGTGTATAAATTATATATCTTAATACCAACAAAAAATTCATTTTTTTTTTTTTGTTAACACAAATGAAATATAAAAATATAATTGAATAATATGTATTTCAATCATTACACGAAATAATGTCCATACATTACTTTCGCTGAGTAAGAATCCTACAAGCTTAAAAATAGTCCCCAGGCTACCTTAGCTCCCAAACCCGAACAAAATGACTTCAAATACTTTGATAAGCCGACTGCCACATTTTCATGAATAAAGATGATTCGTAGAATTCATAAAACGTTCAAGGATTGTAAAAATTAAGAGAACTTATAATTTTTTTAATTCAAAGTTATTTTATTACAGACTCCTAACAGTGTTAACAATTACCTTTTTTACAGAATCTTTTTTTTTACAGAGTAACACTTAAATATAATTGCTGTGTATATCTATATGTAATATAATTTCTTTTAAGTGCTAAACACAATTTAATAGGATTGCACACTATCGTATAGGCTATTACATTATTTTCAGAGTAGAAACTGGTAAACATGTCTAAACTCACACCTCATCAAGATAATGTCATATAAGCAGGCATATAATTTTCCCTCTTAGAATTCAACATTTTTTTCTCCGTATTAAATGTATCTTTCTTTTCCCCCTTCCCATGATAACCATAGATTTCATCAAATCTTTCTTTATGTTTCATGATCCTCCTCCATCGACATTTTATAGTATTCCCTTTAAATGTAAATTTTGTTAAATGTTAAAGCTACAAGCAGGCTCTACAAATGTTGACCTGTATTTGAGAAAATTTAAATCGCTGTTAGAAAATTCTGTTTTTGAATGTAGTCCTCAATATGTAAAAGTAACAGCTAAATCTGAGGTACAGGTCTACCAAACAAGATTTTAAAAATATATATATTTGAACTTTTATTATTTAAATTAAACAATTTAATCTATTTATCTTCAAAATCATCTTAATTATATTTTTTTATCAATTTGGTACTATAGATTTATATGGATTCAATTGTTTTTTTTTCTTTAATAATCAATCTTAATGAAAATTTAAGACTAAAATTTGGTATTAATCATTCTTTCTTTAATAATCAATCTTAATGAAAATTTAAGACTAAAATTTGGTATTAATCATTCATTTAGGTAATATGTTATCATGCTTATATATTGGAATAAATTAATTGGATTTCAGGTTCAATTAGTTGAATCATGGTCTTGAAATCCGGGTGAGTTGAAGTGTGACGAACGACAAGATAATCCAACTTCGCAGAGCTCTTAATGAGAGTAAGACTCAAAATAAAACTAGTTAATTATTTCTCTTCTTTCCTTATTTTCCATTTATCTAAGATGTTGACTGTGTCGATGTTACATAAAGAAACACATTCACTACGGCCGACGCAATTCTGTGGAGAATGCAACGCATCCACACGCCGTGCAACAGATCCTTTCTAATGACCACCCATTCAGACTTCCACCGACAATCAGTAGACGCCGTTGCGTGATCTAGCGATCCCAGGGAGCGGAGATTCTTCATACAACGCAGTAGATTTGTAATCAAATACCATGTAAAAGCATTACATTTTCTTTTTCTTTTTCAATATGATTTATGGACGGAATACTGTCAGCGCCGGGAGACGATTTTCTTGTGGAAGGCGTTCTACATAATATTCTACAATTAACCACCGCACAACACTCATAAATATTCAATTTTACTAATATAATTTATTCCAGAAATTTAGAGGTTTTTAAAATTTAAGTTCATCCGGCCATGAAGGTATTTTATACCGCCATGATCCGGTTAACATCAAAGTCTGTATTACAGTTGAATTATTATCTTGCCAGAAGACAAAAATTTGCATAAGCCCAAAAGACAACTATTCTTACTACTCAATCATGACAATAACTCGAAATGTGTAAGGCATGCGGGGACAGATTCACCGAACAACACAGTGTGTGCAAAGCTACGTAAAATCGGCAGTCCCTTTTACTTACAACTATTTTTTTGAGAGGGGAGGGGTGGGGCTTTTACCTGGAGAATCCACTTTCAATTCAAAAGGCAATTTTCCAGCACACTGCATGCCAAACTCAAAGTCGGCTCATCCAAATCATACCATGGGCTTTTGCTTGAGAGAAGGCTGGTATGTAAAATATGGCAATAAGTAGGGCGGTGGGCTTATACCTGAGAGCTGGCAGTACAAAAATATTCTTTCATTAACAGAGCCATTATGTACGCAAATAGCAACAATAGCATCTTTTCAAAAGTACGAGATAATTAAAACCAAGTAATTCACCCAAGAGACACAAGCAATATTTGGCTAATAACCATTTCGCGATACTTATAACTAATTGTGATATTTCATTTTTTTGACACGACAAAATCAGAAGCAGGTTACAAATTTTGAACGCAGAAAGTTGTGAGGGAAAATGAAGAGGAAGGGTTACAATGGAGATGGGAGAATGTGTGTTATTTTATGTTACAAACTTTTTTCAGATCTATGAATTTTTAAGGCGAAATTTAATACCAAAGAAGAGTGAAAATTCCCCCCCCCACCCCATTTGTATCATTGATTAGATGATGGTAGACCTGTTCCACTACTTACCGTGTTTTCCCTTCTTCTGCGTGACCATTGCCCATGTGTCACGCCATCCCAAATGCATAGATTTCTCACTTCCAAGAAGTTTCAGTAGATTTCTGGCAGTGTCCTTTAAATGGAATGAGCCTTCATCCTATGGAAACATTTAACAAAAAGGATACATGATTTTTTTTCTCTTATTTTTGAAGTATTTGTACCTTACTTTAAATATGGTCAGGTTCAGTTAGGTGAGACTTTTTTTTTCACTTTGTTTTGCAAACTTATTTTCTGAAAGATCGTCACAGGAGGGTGTAGAAAAATTTAAAATTTAATTTTATTCTTTTATTTACCAAATACTGTAAATATTGCCAAAAACATCCAAACGGAGGAGAAAATAAAAATAAAATTTTATTGGTGAAGTAAAAGGTGTAGCAATCGGATGGTTGCATTCTTTAAATTTATATAATTAGGAAGAAATATACATTTCTTATTTTTGGAGATTTTAAGACAGCAGTGGGCGTAATAAAAATCAAAAGCTTTCATGTTTTATTCTTAAATTTCTATTTTTAGTGGCGGCAGGTGCACCAATTGGTCAAAAATATTTATTTTATTCGAAAAAAAACGTCCCACCTTATGTACAGTCTACTGTAGGTGCCTGGTAAGATGTTCAAGCCTTCAACGCTAATTATTATTGGTTGTGCATTATTAATTCAGCACAGCTGGTATAACACAACCATAAAGCAGAAAGAATGGACTTTCTGACTACTGTATCAATCTAGTGGACAGATATAATAAGGTCTAACATTGACTTGTTGAATATAGCATTGTGTTGCTAGAGATGTATTGAGTCTAAAAGTAAAACGCTTTACTGATGTTTTTGTTTGTGAGAAATATCAAGATTTTTTATTCCAGAATTAAAATTAGGAACTTTGAATTAGAAGGTGAACACTTTCTCACCAAGTAAGAAATTATTAAAGCAAACAAATTAACATACATAAATTGGTATATTAAGATACTGATTTGCATATTAAAGAATGGCACTTGATTTAAAAACATTACATGAAAGATTATTACATAACCTAGATATGAATTTGCATATGAGGGTAGTAATCATGTGACAAAAGAAGCATGTGATGATGAATCTAACAACACATGCCACTAATGAAAACAGGCAATTTTGTGGCAGTCATTATGAAAATTAGACACATGAATAATTAATGAACCCAAACATGAATAATTCATGTTTCTAATAGAGTCTAAAAGTAAAACGCTTTACTGATGTTTTTGTTTGTGAGAAATATTATGATTTTTTTTTTCCAGAATTAAAATTAGGAACTTTGAATTAGACTTTGAACTTTCTCACCAAGTAAGAAATTATTAAAGCAAACAAATTAACATACATAAATTGGTATATTAAAATACTGATTTGCATATTAAAGAATGGCACTTG